CACAATTCACAAAAAACAATGAATTTTGTTTATGCTTGCAATACCTAATCAAAAATGAAGACAGAAAAACATTTCCTCTAAACTCATTCTGCAAATTTAATTGCTTACAATATTCTCTTTAGGAATAAAAAAATTGCATGGATGCCCAGCATGAAGAGGCACTGGGATTAAATACTAAACAATTCACCTTACTGTGACTTCATATTAATGGGTTAAACATTTTAAACAGTTTATGTATTCACATCAATTTAAACTGCTGGGTGTATCTGTGGAATGAATAAATTTGCTGTTGTTTTTTTGGCTTATCAGTAAATCTAGTACAAAATCAGATGCTATTCCAGTTGGATTTATATTGCTGCAACAGATAGAGATTATTACTGATGCCAAGAAGACTGATTTTCTGCTGATTTGATTAGGACAGTAACTGTGCAAAGCTACATATTAACATATTAGAACACTGCAGTCCCCTAGAAGCCTGCAGAAGGGAATTTTGTATTGGATTTGGAAAAAACTGATCTGTTGTTTCTGTATCCTACTGCATTTATTAGAAAATTCATACAAATTCTTTAATCAGCCTGTTCATGTGTGCTAGGAAATGGGCTTTCCATATTAACCAGGGAAATGTCAACTCAAGGCTATGGGGGCTGGTGCTAATAAGGTTAATGAATAGCTGGCCTGAAAAGCAACAGATGGGCCTAACAGAGCGGGAGCCTTAATGGCATTTGTAATGCCTAGGGTCAACTGCAGTTTATCTTCATTTTTTTCTCATTTAAAATATTCCAACGGAATAATAAAATAAGTTTAAATTTTCCCCACAGGGAGATGAAATTTATGCAGCACTGTTTATTGAATATCAATGTGTTTGGTTATAAACAGAGGACTGCTACACACCACTGCTAGAACTGTAGTTGGTGTATATCTGCATTTGCAGAGGAATTTTTCATTTAGCTCACTTAAAACAGTACTCTCTTTTTATCAATTGCCTCTGCAGAGCTGGTTTGGATATTTTATTTTATTTTTTTTCTTGTATTGTTTTTTTTTTCTGAAGAAGCTAACACAGAAGGTCAATTTATGGCTCTATATTGCAATTAGATACATGACAATTATGCTAAATTTGCATAAAAGAATTCTAAGGGTAGAGTTTGAATGCCCAGGTTGTGGTCTCCCCTAAGATGACAGAATTAATGCTCATTATAATAGAATGTCATATGATAGAATAGGGTAGAGATGATGGTAAATATATGGTAGAAATCATAACTGTTTCTAGATAAAGCAGAAACTGTTTCTGATCGAAATGTATTTGCTGGATCTAAAATAACTTCTGTGACCTTGTTGTCCTTCATCTTAGATACACTAGTCTTTAGTCAGGAGAAATAATCTGCACAAGAGGCAATTGATGTAGTCCTCTCTACTCTAAATACAGGCTCAAGGTGATGTTAAACTATCGTTACAGCACATCTATTGCCTGAATTTAGTCTGCAAGATTTAAGGTCTAATATCAGCTAAGGCAGTGAAACATAATGTTGAGGGAGGTTTTAAGACTTGTTCTAACAAGCAATTTTTTGAATAGGCATTGCTCTTGGGGAAAAAGAAAACACTGAATTCTTACTTAGCTTATGCCTCCCTCAAATAGCTTCAGGTAAACATATGGATCCACAGTAGGTTTATTTATGAAACTCACTTTCATACTTTGTAAATGCATGGAAATAGTTAAGAATGTATTTAAGTTTGGGGTGAAACTTTTTAAAGCACTTAATCCTGAGATGATGCTGCCTAGTTTTCCATATCAAGTGCTTTTGATCACTCCTCTTCTGCTTCTTTAGCACTCCCTTCAAGTCTATGTTAAAACTTCCTTTGACTTTAATGGGGGCAGAGTCAGGGCAAAACTGTGGGCTTTTGAAAATCTCACTTTATGTGGATTTTAAACTATTATTGGATTAGTCATAATGAAAACCATAAATTTAACTGTAAGTTTGGGCAGTTCAGTGATTTCAAAGTATGATGAAATTTGTCTCACCCAAGTTTAGATGTCAGAAAATTAGGTGTCCAAGTCAAGGCCAGCCAACATGGTATTCAGGACCAATCTTCCTCCTGAAGTTATCCAGCAAAGAACAGAAGACATGATTAATTATTTAAGATGTAGCAACTGAATTAATTTTCCTACTCTTTGTAAAAAAAAGGATTTCTGTTACAATAATCTTGACATTTTGAGATGCAGGAATCTGCTTTATAATATTGTTAGTTTAAACTGACACAAAAGATCAAAAATTTCAGATGTTGTTTGAATTAACAAATAACTTTGTATATTTTGCTTAAAGAATAGAATTTTCCACATATGTTATAGATTGTTTCAAAGCCAGTGTCCTGAGAATAATATATATCTGAATAATTTACTAATTGTCCTACTATACATTTGGCAAAAGTAAAAAAAAAATATTACTGAATAATTTATGTAATGAATTTTATAGAATTTGTCAAATAATATTTAATCTGTTTTTTCTCACAGATAGCTATGGTCTGGAGTAAAACTCATCACATAAATTCAAGAGCAGAAAAGTCTAATTTTAGCATAGAATGACTTAAATCTGGATATCAGTTTTTGATAGACTGCTTACTGGCCTGGGAACAGGACCATCTTTGCACAGTACTGTACAGTTGCAACTAATTGCAGGCTCTGTAGATATAGCAGAGAGGAGTGGAATCTCCTCACTTTTCCCTTGAGCACCAGAGAACTTATGGAACAGGTGTTTTTTATATTCTTTCATGTTTACTGCTACCCAGCAACAACCAGTCCGTTCTGAGTCTGGTTTAACAGAAAGCACTTCCACTTGAATTCTGAAAAATACCATTGCTTTGTATCCTGATGTATCTTCAGATGTCATAGTTTCATTTAATTGTACAGATGACATCTACTTTTCCCTACCTGAACCTTCTATCTTGAGAGTATCACCTGTCCTCTGACTCATGTGAACATTTCCTTTATTTGAACGATTTAAATTTGCACAAAGCAGTTTAATTCATTAAAGAAGAAACTAAAACTTTCATATTAAATTGAAAGTCAGTATAGCGTAGAAGTCTTGTACTTCTGAAGTTCTGATTGAATTCAACATGAGTTTTGGGAATTTTATAATAGGATAGCTTTCTATTTATCCCACCTGCTGACTTTTCAGGAGAAGAAAAGACACATTTTTTGTTAATGGTAATTTTTCAAATAGTGACTTTAAAAAATTGTGCTTATTGAGCTATGTCTTATTTAATTATTTTAGGTGGCACAGATTATATTTGTTAGCCTGTTAGGTGGTAAGTTTCAGAGAGGATTTCAAACTTCCAACTCCAGAAAATCAGTTGATGATCACATGAGAAAAAAGGATGACCAATTTTCTGAAAAAGAATGTAACCAATTGCTATCTAATAGTTGTAACATTTTTAAGAGATAAGCTTTCCTTTTTTTCCCTTCCCACCCTCCACCCTGATAGCTTTGTGATTACCTAGAATTCTGCATGCATTAATTTAATGTATAAATTAACAGTGTTTAGTCTTCTGTACACTTTTTGTAGTTCAAATCTAGAAATTGTATAGCATAAGAGAATAACACATTGCCATATGGAAAAATATAATGCCAATGAAATCTGATAGATGGCACTGTTGGATTGTTGATAAAGCATGAGCCTGACTCCTGTGTTACCAGCATTCAGAAGGATGTTATTGCTTATTAAAGAACTGTTGCTTTAGAAAGCTTGATAGAAACACATTTATTTCAGTCTGTATTTTCTCAGTAGTGGGACTCAATGTACTGGTCTGGTTGTTGGTCTGTAATTCTCGCTTTTTTATTTGTTCCACAGCATCTCTATATCCCATTAGGACTTGCTATGATTCTACCAAGGTGTGTGGGTGTTTCTTACCTTGCACAGCTTCTAGTTAGAGCAGAGACTTTGAAAAAAAAAAAATCTTTGATTTTTTTCTTCTTTAGTTATAAGTCAGAGCATTGAACATTGCATTGCATTGAATACCTTTCATATTCCATTTATCATTTTTTTTGAGGTCTTAAGAATGACAGCCACATCCTGTGGGATTGCTGGTACTCAGAGATGAGTTGACTATGATCATCTGAAGCAAATGAAAGGCTAAATTGTCCAGCTTTTGCACTAACTTAAGATGATACAAATGCAAAAGCACTGTTGGAACCAGTCCAGGTAAATCCATTGGATTTCATTTGAACTAAAACCTAATGCAGCTTTTGCAGGAATATTAAAATGAGAATTTTCTTGATGTATTATCTGACATGCAACTTGGACTATTACCAAAAAAATGTTGCCAAACAATGAGCAGCAATGAGATGATTTATCTGTCCTTAAATCTATAACAATGTTGTTGAATAAAAGTTACATTGAAGAGTTATTTTATGCACAAGAGGGATTCTTTTATTGAAAAATCTTCATACCAGTTGTGAATTCTATGATTGTTATGGCAAAAACTAAAGCTAGACAGAGACTTGTTGAACATCTCTTTTGCAATATTCATTCTGTTTGTGCTGTCATTTATTTCCAGTCTTAGTACTGCTCTGAATAAAACTCCACAGTAAACTTCTAAACATATAAATATGAAGCATTATTAAATAGTTGTTCATTTTTTCTGTTTTAAAATTGACTACAATTGTGCAATTTCTGTGATGTCAAATAATAGTGAATATACCTAAAATCAGTAAATGCACTCTTCCACCTTAGAAGATCTAAGCAGCACACTGAAGAATGTAATGGATTTGGGAAGGTAGAGTTGCTATAATTGCATAACTTGAAATGTATCATGCACTACTAAAATTTTCCCTTATGATAATGAAAAAATCGATGTGACAACACCATTAGTGATTATCTTCTTTCAGGTCTCAGGTATTTGGGAAATACAAGGACAGCTCTTTCCTATTATGAAAAAAATCAAAAACTATGCCTGCAAATTTTCTCCTGGAATGCTTTTTTCCCTTTTATTTCTTCATAAAACAAAAGGTTTGTTCTGCTGGAGAAGAATTACAGGAACTGTAAGAACTCTGAACTTGAAAGCTGTTGGGAAGCCCAGGTATGTCTGATGGCCCTTTGCCTGCACATTTTCTCTGTGTACTGAGCACCTTTTGTTCTCTGTCAGCAGAACATCAGCCAAACTGTTCTTGCCTGGTAGCAGCAGCTGGATCCATGGCCTGGAGTCTTAAACGGTTTTAGAAGTCCATGAAGGTGTAAATGGGAAGAAAGCACGATTATTTTCCCCTGAGATGGGAAATGTGAGTCTGCAAGTCTTGTTTGAAGTCGAAGCTGCCTCCTGGCTTGTGCATTTGGCCTTTGGTCACATGCACATTTTTTGGGTATACACAGTTCCCTGTGTGAGAGTTAGAGAATTAAGATATACAAAAATTTCTGCCAAGACTTTTGCATTTCTTGTCTGTACATCTCTTTACACAGAATTCTTAGGGGAATGAAATAATACTCAGTTATTTTAATAGATATTAGAGATTAGGAAAAGATACTAGTCAAGTATGGGAATGAATCATGAGGACTGTACATACATCTGAGTGAAGTACAATTTATTTGCTTTGAGTCAAGTCACCTAGAGAGAAGTAAATTCTATTTCAGCTAGAAGTATTTGTGCAGAAATAGATTATGCCTATTATTTATGTCTTACAAGCATTTATAATTTCACAGCTGCACCAAATTATCAGGCTGTTCTAAGAATACAAAGGACTGCACCTAATTCAGTGATTCTGTTCCAAGAAAATCTTCTAATGATATAGCAAAAAATCAGTTTATACTGGAATGTTTGAACTTTTCATGAAATGTAAAATAGTTTTGCTGATGAAAATTTTGCTCCTTTTGTTTCAGGGGACATTTTTTACTAAAAAATTTGTATTTCATAGAATAAAAATGGATTTTTGGGGGAACATCCACTGCACATGGTATAACTCCTTAATATAACTTTTCAGATCAGATTTGTTCTTAAAAATATCCCTGAAAAAAAATGCAATTATATCATTTATGATTTTGGGGTTTTGAACATTTATACTTTTAAAAAATAGTCTGCGAAGTGCCAGTGTCTGTTCTTCAACTGTGTAATTAAATGGACTCTAGTAGACAAAGATTTTAATCTCCACAAGCACATGTAATAGATACCTCTCACCTGAATGTATTCTAGATGACCAATCGCACCATTTGAGAGGCACTGATGTCTCAACTGCTTCCATAACCAGATGCTTAATGTTCAGGGAAAAAAAGTAGTATTAGATTTTTTAAAAAAATCTACTCATTTAGGTGGAATAAAACAGGTTCTAGGAGTAATTTGGGACTACTTCACTGCCTGTAAGAATTCATCAAGGCAATCTTTTTGCCTAATGATCCAGCCATGGCTGTAAATTACAGCACCGTTGTAGTTTCAGCTAGCTTTTGTTTTAACATAAGAGAAAAAAAAAGGGTGCCTTAGTTAGAAAATTATCTGGTATTTAAAATGATGTTTTAAGTCATTTTAAAGATTTGAATTATATTTTCTTTCCATTGATATCTTTACTTGTCATCTCAGAAACATTTTACCCTTCCCTTGAAAGCAGATAAAACTTGAGATGTCTTTTTCCTGTACTTTAAAAAAAGGAAGATGAGCTTTCCGGTACCTTATGCCAGAGATTCAGAGGATTTTCAAGAGATTGCATGTAAGAAATTCTGTTTAGAACTTTATTCAAATAGTCATAAAAAAGTTTTGTTTACATAAATGAAAGAAAATGAGAAACTTAATATCAACATAATGACTGTGTCCCACTCCATATGAATGAATAGGGTAGAGATAAAAAATATATGGTAGAAATCATGAACATTTTTAGATGAATTTATTGAAAGAAGATATTTTTTGTCAAAAATGCAGAGAGAAGCTCAAAAGATGTTGAAGTTTGATGGTGCCAGGAAAACCTTTGCTCTGTTGAGGACACGCAAAGCTGTAAAGCACCTCAGTGAGAAGCACAATGGAACTGTTATAACCACAAATCAGAATTAGGTACTAAGAAATATATTTTCATGATTTGATCCTTCTACAAAGCATAATTTGTCCTTTTACTTACTGAAGGAAAATACTGAAGGTTGTATGTGAGACAGCTTCTTACAAAACTCATTATTTTGGGAGGATCTAATGGATCTTGAATATTCTAATGACACCTGATTTGGAGATTATCTTCCCCTTGAAAAATATGAAGCACAAGAAACAATTTCTGCTATTTTAAAAATGGTAAGCCACTTGAATGAATCTAAAAAGTACATCTACTGATCACTTATCTCTGAAGTAATAGAAATAATTTGCCAGTGGCAAACTATATTTTGAAAAATTATCAGCAAACATTATAGGCTAAAACATTACCACTTCAGTTCATGTTTTTTTTTCCTTAAGAATGCGCTCAAGAATATATGAAAATACTTTAAAAATTACTTTGGTTAATCCATGTTCATTTACTAACTCCTAATTATTAGAAAAATGTGTATGGAAAACATTTGCAGAAGACATATATTTGCAAATGTTGAAGCTTGAAATAAAGCCCTCTATTATTCAGACTTAACTGAATCAGACATAGCATCACACTTGCTATGTATTTCTAGATATTTTTTTTCTTTCTGCCTTGATGTTTTAGTGTCCAATTTCCCACTGAAGATCCAGGGAATGTAACCACTTCTAGAAAAAAGAAATAAATTTAGATTTTATTATTAAACATAAGCTGCTATGGGTTTGAATGATCAGCATTAAGAATATTCAAATGGATATTTAGTCTAACTTTGCTGTGTGCTGCAATTCATTTTAGCAATTTTTTTTAGATATGGATGAGAAGATTTCTGCTTGTGATATGATTGGTTGAAACAATAGAAAAAGGTGCTGAAAAGTTCCATGTATATATTTTTTTAGAAGGAATAAATGGCTTTTGTGTAAATATTTCTCACTTTCTCCATTGTTTACTTTATACTTTATACATTTATAGTTGTGATAGATTTTTCCCTTTATCCAGGCCTAATAAAATCACTTGGTTATTGAAAATAGTTTTTAATAAAATTTTTTAAAAAATACCATATAAAAACATAAATAATCTTTAAAAATAGGTGATTTTTTCTTCTGTGAAAAAGGAAAATATATAAAATGCACAAAAGTCTGTTATAATATTTTTTTCAATGAAAACATGTCATCTCATTGTAATTTACCTCACCATTTTCAATAGATAGTTATGCTTCAATTTTGAGTATGAGGAGAAAATCTATTGTATAATGTCTCATCTCAGGATTCAGAACTGAGAAGGATAAATTTGCTGAACAGTAATACTTTATTGAAAATACTTTTCAATAAGAAAAAGAAAACCACAATTTTTGAATAATAAGGTATGGTCCAAAAAAGAGAAACTCATACATAACTGAATATTTGACACACATTGTCTTAATTCCTGCTAAAGCCAGGTGAGGTGGTTTGTTTTTATTTTGTTTGTTTGTTGTTGTTTTTTCATTTTATAACTCTCTTGAAACTAAGGGAATAGTCTGTAGGAGAAAATGGCTGTGCAACAGTCCAGGCTCCCATCACTCCCATCATCCATTTGTGAGTCAGTTCCTGATCCTTGCTTTGCAATAAAGCATTTAGTCACCTTTCTCCCAAAGCTTTACCAAGACAGGTTTGATTTTGTTGTAAATAGTGACATTATTGAGTGGCAAATAATCACTGTGACTCCTGTGAAACCTGAAAGTCAGTCATTTCTCATAGGAAGGCTGATTGATGCCTTCTCTTTTCTGCATCCAGAAGAAGTTCCAGTTATTCCCACTTGGACACACACACTCATGCATACACTTATGTTACATCTCCTTTTAGAATTAGAAGACTGCAGCATTAAATTAAAGTTTAAAAGAATTAACTAAAAAAAGTAATGAAACAATTTGGCATGGAATCAAGATAAATGTGAGGGTTTTGAGATGGAATGAATAGACCTGTCTAGTGAAAGTGAAGGAGGTAACATTAGTGTGGGAGACGCTTTGGGCTGAAAGATGCTATTTTGAAACTTTTGAAGAAGTTTCTTGCTTTGGGAGTAAGAAACTGAATCCTAGACTGGGTTGAGTTGTGACCTTACAACCCCACCCTGGATTAGGGTTGGTGCCAGGGCAGGTTGTTCAGAACCTCCTTGGTCTTGAAACATGAAACTGGGCACTTCTCACCTGGACGTGTTGCGAGGTAAAGATGAGAAGCCTCTTCTCCCCTGCAAGGGACTGCAATTCCTCCTTTACTGTTCAGCACCCCAACATGTGTGAGCACTTAGTACTGCTATTCTTCTAGCCTTGTATGGTTTCTTTTGCTAGAATAAAAAAGTTAGTTGGAATCTCATAGAAGTTTTGTAACATTAAAAATTACCAAAATAAACCCCAAACCAAAATGATGCACTAAATTTTGCCAGAAAAATGTCTCACCTTTCTGAGAAAAAAAACTATTAAATCTCCTAAAGGGAATTGTATTGAAATGAAAGGTCTCACTTCCATGTTTGTGAAAACTGCAAGAGTAGAGGTGATGGCAAGGAGTTGCAATAGCTGTCAGGAGACTAAACTATGCTAAAGACCCCAGATTCTACAAAATAACAACAGACCCTGAAAGAGTCATGGCAAAGCTGACAGATACACAATGCAAGCAATTTACTGATTATCTGGGGAAGATAACAAAACACCTGCTGCTTACTAAAGTCCGCTAGCTATCAGCATTAGAGAAAAAAAATTCAAAATATTCTCCTCATCTGCCTCTGTATATTTTATTTTATGATGCACTTCCCCATAATTTCCATAGAGATATATCTAGAAGCAATTGTGTACATGCCTTTTTGCATGCAGAATGACACAAATGAAGATCACTTAAACTTGCTATTCTGAGAAAAGAAGACCTTTAAAAATCTGTTTTAAATAAGCTCCTCCATACAGAACCATTTTAAGTCTCTGATCTGCCCCTTTTGGAGATAGCATGGTACATTTATCATAACTTAAATGAAGGGTGTGTTTATGATTTTTCCTTTAAACAGCTAACGTAGAAGAGAACAAATAAAGGTCTTAAGAACATTTTCAGGCTGGATTTTTGTACCCACGTTTATTTCAAGTCACACTTTTGGTCATGAATCTGACTGCTGCTGGAATTTTTTTAGAGCATTGGTCTGTACCCCATACATAAATGAAGATATCAGGATATGGACAGTGGTCAATGAGTGTGGACATATTTTATTTTAAAATGTTTAAAGCAGAAAAGTATAGGAAAAGACCCAACTACTTGCTTGCATGAGTAGAAAACTGCAAATGTTTTTTGACCTTGAATACTACTGTTTTTTATAAGTATAATTTTTAGGAATCTGTCTAGCCCAACCTCATAGGGTTGATCTTCTATTCTGATTCCTTGTTCTTTTTTTTTTTACCTGATTGTTAGAACATATGAATTGGGTGGTCTCTGATATCTCTTTCTATTCTAATTGAGTGTCCTGAAAGCCAGCTCTGCAGATACAGGTGTTTTAGAGACAGTGGGTTGCATCCTACTGCTTGGGCAAAAAACTATCTTGTGAATGTGTGTATCTGTGACAACATGTGTCAATCATTTGTGACTCTTCTTCTGGAAGCCATTGTGAGTTATTGTAAGCTAGCTGCTGCATCCAAAACAGACCCTCAAATACTAACCAAGAGAATCACAGGGTATGAGGTTGGATTAAACACTTCCTTAAGAATTGTTTTTTTTCTCTATAAAATCCCTTTTTAAAGTATGGTCATCAAGGTCTTTAATCAAAAAGATAAAACCTTTTTTATTAATATTAATCATTTAAATATGGTTGTAAATATGAATTCATTTATGCACTGAATTTTAGCTGTGCTCTTGAGTTGTAGTTTGAATCCATGAAATTTGAATTCACACTGATTTTAAGAACAGTGAAAAATTATCACTTAACTAGAGAGCAGTAGAATCACAGTGGTTTAACAGCATTCTTGGCTTTTATGGCAGGAGCAATATGATAAAACCAAGGGCCCTTAACTGGTAATTTTCCAGAGGGGAGAATGCTGGTGTTGCTGCCCAGGTGCTGGCAGTGGCAGCAGTGGGACAGCCTCTGTGAGGAGAGGATGGGGCTGCCCAGAGAGGATTTGAGCCAGCCCTGAAAGAGACCCAGTGCTGGCCAAAGCTGGGCCCTTCAGCAGTGCCGGTGGTGCCTCTGTGAAAATACGTTTAAGAAAGGGTAAAACCAGCTGTGTGTCAGCTCTGGAAGAGGAGTGAGAAAATATCACACAACCATTGACATACCAAGGTCAGAGAAGGAAGAAGAAGAGGACAAGGGGTTTGAGGGTCTGGAGCAGAGATTTCCCTGCAGCCCATGGAGAGATGTCTGTGGAGAAGGTTTATCTTGAAGAACTGTAGCTCACAACTGGACCCACACTGGAGTAGGGGAAAGGTGATAGATGGAAGAAGTAGCAAATAAGAGCTTTAAGGAATGTCCCATTCCCTGTCCCTCTGTACCACTCAGGAAGGGAGGATGTAGAAGAAAAAGGAATGGAGGTATAAAACCGGGTGCTAGAAAGGTATTGTTTTTTGCTACACAATTCTGTTTTGCTTGGCAACAAATTATTTTTCCCCTGGTCTTTATTTCAATCATCGAGCTTTTTCATACATGTTTTCTCTCCTGTGCTCTTGGTGAAGAAGCATGAGGGTGCATCTAGCAGGTGCTGGTCATTATCCACCCACTGCAGGTTTTCTTCTAATATTCTTTTCAAGTTTTTCTTCTAATATTTCTGTAATTGTTGTGGCTTAGCCCTGGTTAATTGTGCCTAATTCTTAAATTCTGTCAATAGCATGAAGCAGTCTTCCCACATTTGGAACAGACAGGTTCAAACTATATTTATAGGCAGACTGACAGGGCAGGTGTCTTTCTTTTGGCAGTGTTCAAAGTGCCTTAACACCTACCTGTCATTATAGCTAGGCCTCACTGACTGCTTCCTTGACTGTCATGGAAATTTTAGATGCATCAAGAATAGAAAATTAGCATTAATTTACAATGAAAATGCTCTTTTTCATTCCCCCAAATATGTTAGTGGGATTTAATATAGTTCTAGCTGCAGCTGCAAGCAGAATCCCTTAAAATGGTTGGCTCTGCAGCTGGGTTTCACATGCCCCGTGTAGGAGAGCTCTTAGAGAGCTGCAATTAATTTCTTTAAAGGTGATCGTGTTTTTTGGCACACAGTTACGGAAAACGCAAACTGGCTTTTTTGGTGCCACTGTAGTTATGACAAAATAGCTACTGTTGAATGTTTTTATATGCTGGCACAAAGTACCTGGAGTAGTGCTTTTGTACTTGATTCTGTGTTATTCCTGCATTGCCAGTGCCCCCATTCTACAAAGCAGGTGTATATTGCACATTAAAAAATGCAGTTTCTAAAATTGACTTCAGTGAAAGGATTGTCTTAGATAATGTGGCCCTTACTTTACTTCCACAGGCATTAAATACCTCCCCAGCACAGCTGTTAACTCATTTATAATGTTATCCCTTTTATTCATATTGCAGTGGTGCCCAAGACTCAAGTGAGAAGAGTTTTCTGTGTTCCAGATGTGATATATAGAAGAAGAAACATTCCCTTGAGGAGCTGACAGTAGGGATTGCAGAGGACTCAGATACCATATGAGTAGATATGGTATCTCAGATACCATGTAAGAGATATGACAAACTGTTCCAATCTGAGCTTCTCTAAGAGTCAAGCCATTGCTATGTCCAGTGCTATGTCCAGTGCTGTGTCCCATCCCTCACAATAAGGCTCTGTTTCTCCAGCTGACACTGCTGTGAAAATTCAGTCCAATGCCACAGCCAAGGGCAGGAAAAGGCAGAGCATGCACACGGTGGTGGCATTACCAGATGTTCTGTTCTGTGCTCTTTATTGCTTTTTTACTCTGTTTTAAAGTAGAAACAAATAAATATACATAGGTAGACACTTTAAACTGAGAATATGTTTAAAGGAATTTCTTCCTGTTTTCTGTAACCAAGAGGAGTTCTGGCATTAATTGAGTAATATTTGAGCAATGTGAAGTCCACAGTGTTGTATTTCTGACATCCAGGATTTAAAAATAATGCACTTTAACACTGAAATAATTTTCTTTGCCTATCTGAGTAATAACAAGAAAATTTATTAACATTCTAGAAAAGCACAACTGTTCAAATTTGGACAAATACATAAAAACAGGATTTAAAAGGTGAGAATTATTGATGTCAATAAAGAAATTCTTCATCAGTGTTACCTGACTATTTATAAATCTGGGTAATCATGTTCAAAAGTACTTTTCAGATAAACCACCTAAATTTAGGGTTGAATTATTTTGTGCCGTACTGGAAACACAGAAGAGATCATTCACAATTTGTCACAACTTAAATGATTATTTAATGGAGAATGCACAAGATTGAAAGCTTTTTTCCACATTCTCCTTGGCATATTGATAAATCATGAGAGTAGTTTTATATCCTGTAATTTTCTACACTGCATATAGAATCACCTTCAGTTTACTTTTTTTTTTTTTTGCTATTAAAAATGACATTTTTCTTCATGGTTAAGTACTTCTTTCTCCCTTCTTCCACATAAGGCTACTGGAAACAACAGTTATGTCTAAGAATGGCAGTCATCCATTCTCAGAAGAGGAGTTACCCCTAATAATGGCTATTTTAGATGCAACTTTATCTTGATTTTTTTATTCATACCACCAGGCAGAATAACAAGAATAACAGGATCTTTTAAAAAAACTGCCATAAAAATTGCTAGCTGTTAAATTAATCAAGGAGAATATTGAGAACAGTTCCAAACTAAAAATGGTTCAAGTGCATGGAAAATTTGAAGTATAATTTTTTATCAATTGTCTTTGTGAATAAAGGGTAGTAGGACACAAGATTTCTCTGGAGTAGCTATCTGAAATACTAATGTTTTTTTTGGCTTGGTTTGGTTTTGTTCTAGTTTTGTTTGATATCTTTTAAAAATAATATGTAGTTTTACTGTTTTTTTTTTTTTTAGAAAAATATTTGACTGATTTATTATTCTTCACTTAAGAGTTAAAGATTTTGTGAACATCTGATAAATCTCTTGATAAGCAATACAAACCATAAAGCAGTGACACTTATCAATACCCTAACATATTGAAATTAAACTGTTCAAAGGATTTTCTGCTATTGATGTCTGTGTTGAACATGAGAGTAAGGGGCCTACTCTCATTCCCTCCTTTCTTTTTAGTTCCAGGTTGGTTCAACTCTTACTTCATAAGAGGGCAAATATTTTATGATAAACCAGAAGTAAATGTCAGGTGATGTGTTTGTGTCATGTAATCCTTCTCTATCAAGTCATAGTTTTCTATAAGATTAAGGCAGGATTCATATATCACTACTTCCGTATCTGATGATTCACTGATATTGGTTAAAGAACATTATTTTATCTTTTCCATCACATTACTCATTTTTAAACAGTGATATGTTTTGTAAGCCATGGATGTATTTGAATCAAACTGCACACAGCACATTTTATATATCCATGAGATATAAAACAAAGCCCTGGGAGATCCTATTTTATATAAAGTCTGTCTGGTGAAACACAGTTTCACTCTATTAATTGAATGCCAATGATTTGGCTAAGTTAGAATATCTGGATTTTGCAGGCAATTATAGTAACCTGCCAGGTCAAGTGATGTTACAGTAACAACAAAATGCTTATTTTTTATGGAGGTATTTAAACAGACTTAAGTAAAAAGAAATCAAGCAACTCAGTATCATTATAACATACATATAAATACTTTTCAAAAATTTTTGGAAGGTTTAACTTTTGCAGTAAGATGCTGAGGATAAAGAACTAACCCAGGCAATGCATAGTATGCTGTGGGCAACAGCCTCATCGTGGGAACTGAGTACAGAACCTCACTGACCTTACCTGGCATTTTGTGAGAGTTTCCCACTGTGTTGGTTTTAAGAAGCATGAAACCCAAATTTCTAGTTTGTTTGAGCTGTTTTATTGGATTTTTTTTCTGAGATCAGGTGAAATTCTTAATTTAACCATGAGGTTAAAGCTCTTCGAGGAACCATTGTGATAATACGAACAGGGAGGGTAAACTGGCTTTCAGATAAGGTGTCATCTATGATGGGTGCTACTTGCTTGCACTCAGAAAGGAAGTTAGGACAATGACGAATTCTAGAAAATGGAACAAAATCCATTTTATGTCTATACATACTTTTATGATAAAATATCCTCTTTTACTCCTTAAGGAGACTGAATTTTTGTGCTTTCCTACTAAAAGAAGTTGAGAAGTTCCAGTGTTAATGGCACTCAACATTTTTTCCTTAACTTCCTAATATACAGGGAATCCCCACTCAGTTTCAGAACATCAGAACATACATTTAAAATACTAAAGTAGTGGTAGGCTGCCTGAGTTGCTGCAGCAAAGGAAAAAAAAAAAGTATTTTGTGTAAGTATACAACATACTTTTGACACTTGGCCAAGCAAAGTTCATATAATTCAACTGCCTGTGTTCAGTCTGA